TCTTCTTCTTCTTCTTCTTCTTCTTCTTCTTCTTCTTCTTCTTCTTCGTCTTCGTCTTCGTCTTCGTCTTCGTCTTCGTCTTCTTCGTCTTCTTCGTTTTCTTCGTTTTCGTCTTCGTCTTCCATATCCGTCATCGGACGTTGGTGATCCTATTTTTATCAACAACTGCCCAAAAACATGCTGGTGTTGTCCAAACCAGTCCCTTAGATTTTGAAGCCATGATGTTTTTCTTCTGCCTGGACTTTGTTTGCCTTCAATCTTTCCCTGGAGGATTAAGGGAAGGATGCCGTATTTTTCCGGGTGTTGCATTACATGTCCACAATATTCTAACTTTTTTTATGATTTCAGCTTTGCAAGAAAACATTTGTTTGTATTTTTAATCCCTTGATCCAATCAGGTTATGCTTCATTGCTGGTGAACAAATGGAATGCAATGAAAAATCTTATCTTTACATTGTCCGTTTTGCTTCAAAGATGTTGAAAAGGAATGAAAGAATAACAAACTTGGAAGTGACCTTGGAGATCTTCTAGTCCAACCCCCTGCTTAGGCAGGAAACCCTATACCATTTCAGACAAATGATTGTCCAATCTCTTCTTAAAAGCTTCCAGTGTTGGAGCATTCACAACTTCTGGAGGCAAGTAGTTCCATTGATTAATTGTTCTCACTGTCAGGAAATTTCTCCTTAATTCTAGGTTCCTTCTCTCCTTGATTAATTTTCATCCATTGCTTCTTGTCCTGCCTTTGGGTTCTTTGGAGCAGTGGCCCCCAACCTTTTTTGTGCCGCGGCCCGGTACCGGCATCACAAAATCATCCGTGGCCTGGTACCAGCATAACAAAATCATCCGCGGCCCGGTACCGGCATCAGCACGCATGGCAAGGCGAGCCGAGCGACCGGCCAGCCAGCCATCCCCCACTTCTCCCCACCACCTTCAACTCCTCCTTTGTACCTGTGTCGATGGGCTTCGCAACGGCTTCGGGATGGTCGCTCGGCTCGCCTTGCCATGCACGCTGAAAGAATCCTCGCGCCTTAGTTTTGTTCGAAGCCGCCCCCCCCTCAATGAAACTAAGGCGCGAGGATTCTTTCAGCACCCAAACGCCGCTTTCTACCCGGAAAAGCTCATGAGAAGCACTTTTTCATCAAAACAAGATGGCGGCACCCAGCAAACCGGTGGCCCGGTAGAAATTGTTCCACGGACCGGTACCGGTCCGGGGACTGGTGGTTGGGGACCCCTGCTTTGGAGAACAGATTGACCCCCTCTTCTTTGGGGCAGCCCCTCAGATATCGTAAGACTGCTATCATTTCACCCGCTATTCCATTTTTTCACTAGACTAGACATACCCAATTACTACAACCATTCTTCATATGTTTTATCCTCCAGTTCCCCACTCACCTTTGTTACTCTTCTCTACACTCTTTCTAGAATCTCAACATCTTTTTTTATAATTTAGTGACCAAAACTGGATGCAGTATTCCAAGTGTGGCCTTACCAAGGCCTTATAAAGTAGTATTAATACTTCACATGATCTTGATTCTATCCCTCTGTTTATGCAGCCTAGAACTGTGTTGGCTTTCTTTTGGCTGCTGCAGCCACACGGCTGGCTCTTATTTAAGTGATTGTCCACTAGGACTCCAAGATCCCTCTCACAGTTACCGCTATTGAGTCAGGTGCCATCTGATTTGTACCTGTGCATTTAGCTTTTCTAAATGTAAAAGCTCGCTTTTCTCCACATTAAATTTCATATTGTTGGACAGAGCCCATTGTTCCAGTCTGTCAAGAACTTTTTGGATCCTGAGCTTGTCTTCTGGGGAGTTGGCTATTCCTGCCAGCTTAGTGTCATCTACAAATTTGATGAGTTCTGTTAGGATATGTGCAGAGTAACCCTTGTATAAAAAGGATATGCACGCAGGGTTAGTCAGTATCAGTCTGTAGTCAGTCAGTATCAGTATAAAGAAAGATCATCTGTGAAAAAGAGAAAGAGAATTAAACCATGATCTATAGCTCCCTCTTATGGCAACTTGTAGCATAATTAACCAACCAGAACACAGCATAATACATTACAGTATTTTTCCTTAAAGCTACAGACATATATATTTGTAGTTTATATATTGTCAACCCAACTACGTTATTTACATATACATAACAAGTTCCCCTTCTATTCCCTCATCCAAGCCATTAATGAAGATATTGAAGAGTCCTGGGCCTAAGATGGAGCCTTGTGGTACCCCACTGCTTACTTCCCTCCATGTGGATGTAGTATCATTAAGGACTACTCGTTGAGCACGGTTTGTCAGCCAGTTACGAATCCATCTGGTGGTGATGTTGTCTATTCCACATTCTACCAGCTTACCAAGAAGTAGTTTGTGATCTATTAGTACATCACGTTCCAGGACTCCAATGCCTGTATATTAAAGTATGAGGAACAATTGTGGAGAACTTGAAGTCCCGGTACATGAGGGCAGATACAGCATTCTTGCTATTACCAAAACTTCATGGTATATGAAACCTATGACTGGAATGTACTGCTAGGAGGGTTTAATTTTTTCCAAAGAAACAGATCTAACAAAAGAGGAAGTGGAGTAGCATTAACTACCGAAATGCAAATAAATAAATAAATAAATAAATAAAAAATAAATAACCAAGGATGAAAATATTAAGATACAGATAGTCCACGCCAACTCAGAAAGCTCAAACTGCCCAAGGAGCTGCTGATCCAGTTTCACAGAGGAATTATTGAGTGTATCATCTGCACCTCTATAACCGTCTGGTTTGGTCAGGGGTGGGATTCAAATTTTTTAACAACTGGTTCTGTGGGCGTGGCTAGGTGGGCGTGGCCATGTGACTGGGTGGGCGTGGCTTTTTCTTTCATTTTTTTTGCAGCACCCCTCCCCTGTTTTGTTTTTTTTTGCCTCCTGGGCCTCAGGGAAGCCTCTTGGGGTGTGTGTGTTTTTGCTCCCATGAAGTTTCCCTGGGGCCCAGGAAGGCAAAAAACAGAGCGCAGGGGGGGGGGGACATGCAGCACCCACCCACCCTGCTCCCACCCCTGGCACCCCTTTTTTGCCTCCTGGGCCTCAGGGAAGCCTCCTGGGCGGAGCAGTAAGACAGCGAGGGGGATCCCGGCACAGCTGATCATCAGAACAGCTGATCCTTGGGAGCGGGGAAAAATGCCTTAAGAAGTGACTGGGCGGAGGAGAATGCAGTCAGCAATGTCGGGCATGAGCGATAAGGACTGACTGGGTGGAGAGGAGGGGGGCAGGGCAGGTGGAGTGGAGCAGGACCAGCCAGGGGCATGATTTGCCAGTTCTCTGAACTGTGCATAATCATAGCAACCGGTTCTATAGAACCGGTCTAAACCGGTAGAATCCTAACCCCTGGGTTTGGTTCTGCAACCCAACAAGACAGACGCAGACTTCTGACAGCAATTAGGACTTGTGGGCGTGAAAAAGGATGCAATGTTAATTCTGTGGAAGAGCAACTGCGGAAGGACAAGACGGGTGACCTCTTTCCAGGTCACTTTTCATCCTTGGGGGCTACAAGGTGACTGCCGTGCAAGTTGATATTTGCACGGACTGATGGAACATATTTTTTTAAATTTTTCCCGTAGAAGGAAAGGTCGTTGCAGAACGAAGGAGGGTCTAATTCAGCCACGCAGGTTTTCTCATGCTGAGTTTGTCTCCCTGGCAGGGATGGGAATTCCCACCATCACAGCCACCCGCATCCTGAAGGGGCACATGCAGAACCCGCCGACTCCTGAGTCGCCTTTAAGTATGGACGCTTTTCCGTTCGTGGCGCTTTCCAAGGTAGGAAGCCGATGCTTTTATTTTTGTGACCTTGGCGCTCCCAGTGGATTTCCTCGTGGACGGGGTGGGGGTGGGGGGACAGGGGGAACTCATCTTTCCCGGTTCTCAAAAGTTCTTGGGACACAGATAAGATGATCAGATCAGATCAGATGATGACAAGAGAAGACAAGAGAAGACAAACCGATGATGGGATGGGATTGGAAGGGAAGGGATGAGAAGAAAAGAGAGGAGAAGGGAAGGGAAGAGAAAAGAAGGGAAGACAAGAGAAGGGAAGACAAGAGAAGAAAAGAGAAGGGAAGGGAAGAGAAGAGAAAAGAGAAGAGAAGAAAAGAGAAGGGAAGGGAAGGGAAGAGAAGAGAAGAAAAGAGAAGGGAAGAGAAGGGAAGGAAAGGGAAGAGAAGAGAAGAAAAGAGAAGGGAAGAGAAGGGAAGGGAAGGCAAGAGAAAAGAGAAGAGAAGGGATGAGAAGAAAAGAGAGGAGAGGAGAGGAGAGGAGAGGAGAAGGGAAAGGAAGAGAAGAGAAAGGAAGGCAAGAGAAGAAAAGAAAAGCGAAGGAAAGGGAAGTGAAGAAAAGAGAAGGGAAGAGAAGGGAAGGCAAGGCAAGAGAAAAGA